AGTGAAAAAGGCTTTTACTACTTCGTCGGACATTATAAAAATGCTTCAGTTTCGAAGAAAAACGAAGCTGACGCGTGTTACAAGCCTCCTCGCTCGGGAAATAAAAACCTAACTTTAAAGTACAATAAATAAAAGTAATAAAAGTAATACTTGACGATTAAAGCTTAACAGAGAATATTTGAATTTGCGAGCATTTTGTCACATTTACATACTCTTTCAACACTAAGGTAATAAACTTATCCAAAATAAACACAGTTTTTACCTTTAGCCTGACCAGCCTTTGTAAACTATGTACAGTAAAACCCGCTTAAGTACCTCACAAAAATGTCAGCTATTTGAGGTACTTAGACGGGTTGGGTACTTAAAAGAACCCACTTAAGTACATCGATTCGGGTACTTACGCAAACATAATTATTGATGTAGTTAATCTTCTTGTTCTTGAATAAAACATGAACATTTAATGCAGTGTACACAGTTTGAAACCAAGATCGTAGCATTATTTAAACACATAAATACATAAACAAAAACTTTATAAGAAAATCGATGAAGCAATGCTATGTAATTTTTAAAAGAATTCAATTCTTTAAAGTCATTGATTATACATATTACGGTGTTGGACATTTCGGAGCAAATTCAAAATGAGGTTGTTTGCCACTTATGCTTATTTATTAATTTTTAAGATTTTTCAGTAAAAACACGGTTCATTCCCGCACAAATACCATATAAACCTAAGTTTAAATTTTTTAGAACACTGAAAAAAAAATTCATCAAAATATCAAACTTTTTTCTCAGATTTCTCATTTTAGTGTAATAATGTGCAAGTTTCAAATGGCTACAAAATTACCGTTGATTTTTTAGAATATTTTTTTGCCGAACGTGTTGCGGTAGCACTTAAAAGGCGAAAGTTATAAGTAAAATGATAAATGGGTGCCCAAAAATGTTGGTTACTTAAGCGGGTTAGGCACTTAAGCGGGTATCACTGTACCTACATAAAATACTTTGGAAGATACTCACTATAAGCTCCTTCTCTGTGGGAATCAAGTCGTAGGCATCCATGCATTGCGCGAATGGCTCGTTAAACGCTGCATTCATTTTGACGATAAAAGGCAAATTCTGCTCTGAGAAGTAACTCTTGATATATCCCTCCGGGTAGGCGCCCTTAACTACAATTCTCTTAACCGAGGCCGCATGCCACTGGGCTAGCTTGTCAAGTACTGTCTTTGTATGTGCGACGTCGAGCCCCTCCCGACGCGGTGCCATTTCAAATCCCCTCGCCTGCAGATCTTCCATCAAAATGTAGTTGCAACTCATTTCATGCGCAAATCGATATTTGTTTGGTTTGAATTGCAACGACACCCCAACGCTGGCATACATTTGTTCCAACTCCGGCACGATGTTGTCGTACATATTTGCTTCGGTGACGAAAAGTNTTCCAACTCCGGCACGATGTTGTCGTACATATTTGCTTCGGTGACGAAAAGTTCGTGATAGCCATCGTCGTCAGTTTGCTTTCGCTCTTTACTCTTCTTCAGCTGCAATGGAATCTTCAGCATGAATTTAACTTGCTCACGACTTGCATCTGAAAGGCAAAACCAAAAAAAAAAA